ATGGGGGCAGCTCGCGCTCAACTTCATCAACGTGGCGAGCCTTGCACGTGAGAGGCACAGTGGAGGTGGAGTTCAAAGAAGAATGAGAAATTTAATGGTTTCAATCTGCCCTTGTTTTTTCTTTTTCTTTTTATTTTTGCATGTTATTACCGTGCCCGTTTTTTGCTTTTATTCTTTGTTCCGCAAAGTGCGCTCTTTTAGTTTGTAGTGATGTGACAATATATATAGGGGGTCTAGTTCACCCGGGGTGTTTCCCACCCAGCTGTGGCCCGTAACTGGGCTATCCTAGCACCTGGCCGGCCCAGCCGGCGGCCCAGCCGGGGCTGCCTCTCTCACAATTGTACCTGATCCAAGCCCGTCGGTAACAGCTGGGCCGGGCAGTTTGCAGCCACGACCACCTGATTGAGGGCTCTGGTAAGGGGAGGTGCGCGTTCCAGTACGTGTTTCAACTTGTTCTGCTCTGTAAGGTGAAGTGCTCGTTCGAGTACTGTAGCAGCTACGACCTTGACCTCTCAGGACTGTGGCAGCTACGACCTTGACCTTTCAGGATCCCTACAGCTACGACCTCTACAGGGCTGTGACTCCTACTCGACAGACCTACAGATCGAACCCCTACCACTACACAGGCCTATGACAGACAACAACAACTGTCAAAACACAGGTCACGGGTTCAAACACTCAGGGTCAACACAAATACAGGTAAGGTGAGAACTAGGGATCGAGCCCTAGGATCTGCATTTCCTACTGCTAAAAGGTGAAAACCGTTTCACTGTTATTTTCTCGAATTCTTTTGCAAAGTTCAAACTTTTCATTCTTGATTAGTGGCTCCTTATCTAGGATTTATCCCACCCACCTACGTTGTTGCCCTCTGGTCTACTCTTCTTCTTCATCTGAGTCTGGGTACCCCTACTGCGGCATTGGTAAGTTGCCACGACAGCAGGCCACGTCAGCAGACCACATCAGCAGGACACATCAGCAAACAGTCGTGCCACGTCAGCAGACCACGTCAGCAGGACACATCAGCAGGACACATCAGCAGACAGCCGTGCCACGTCAACAGCAGGGAGTGCCACGTCAGCAGTCCTCCGGCCTAGTCTATGCTCACGCGCTCTCACACAGCCGTCATGGACCAGAAGGCAGGGGAAACGGACGAGGCCTATCAGACCCGGCTGTTGGACATGCTCGCCGAGGTCAAGCAACGGTCAGACGTTGCAGCAGCCGCGACAAAGAAGAAGACGCAGAGAACGCGCGTCAGCTGGCAATCGAGCAACAACGCCAGCAGGCCGAGGCAGCAGCAAAGGCTGTAGATGAAGAACGAATGCAACGACGCGAGAAGATATTCAACGGGGAGCGAGCATTACTCGCAATGGCAGCGGACTGACGCACCGAGGCCGAGGATGGTAAAATGGAAGAAAGCGAAAGCAAGATCGCTCTCCTCCTCTCCCATCTCACGGACCTCCGGGCAACATGCATTGCACAATAGGAGGACATCCACAACCTCGACGCTGTGGTGCAGAATCACAAACGGGCATTGGACCAAGTCAACAGCCGCCTCCAGCAGCTGGAGCAACAACCCGTCACCGCCTCCGTCGCCAGCTCCTCCAACACCTCCGACTGCCTCAATGCATTGGAGATCGACGTCGGAGCCCTCAAGGACGACGTGCAGTCACAGCAATTCGCTGCGCAACAACTAGAGCAGCGGATCTGTGTTGTCGCCGCCAACCCGAGTTCGGCACCACGTGAGACGACTCCAAAGTCCGACGGTCAGGAGATCTTCTGCGATTCGACGAAGACGGACCCGACGTCGTGGTTCTGCAAGTTTGAACTCACGTTGCAGCTACACCATGTCAGCGAGCACAAGCACCATGCATACTTATACTCCCGGTCGGGAGGCGCGTGTCAAGCATGGTTGGACAACCTCTTGTCCAAGTACGCCGTGGTCGCTGCCGAGTTACACACCAAGATCAACTGGGACGATCTAAAGGCAGCGTGGCATAAGCGGTTCCAAGTAGAGCCGCCAGAGATCGAGGTCATGGACAAGTTGATGACCTTCGAACAAGGCTCGCTGCCGAGTACCAACGCTTGACATCCGTCCCAGACATTCAGATGGGCTTCAAGGCCATCAAACACTACATCTCGAGATCGTGTTCGGCGTTGGGCAATGCCTTGACTCACGTCGAGGACACCCTGACGACGACGGCAGAGCTCTTTGACAAGGCCGCGCAGATTATTATCACGAACAAGGAGGCCAAGAACCTCAACCGTTCGTCTGCGACAGGCCCAAGCAGAGACCAGCATCGGCCGAAAGTGGTCGTGGTCACGGTGGCGACGCCAAACGACCAAACCAGCGAGGCCGTGTCAGCCAATGAAGGGGACAGACTCGTAGCCGCCCGGGATGGTGGCCGCCCTGGCAAAGGCGGAGGACGCGGCAAACCGAAGACAAACACCACATCTATCCCCGGGCCCGGCGCAGCAGCTCCAGCCCCATGGTCCCACTACGGTATCTCGGAGCAAGCTTACAAGCAACGCACGAGATTCCGCTATTGTCTGTGGTGTAACAACGATCTCCACGAGACAGTGGGCTGCCCGTCGAAAGGCAAAGGCAAATTGGGAAACTGAGCGCCGTCGGGGGTGATTTGACGACACTCTTGTCTATGGTATTGCCGGGCACGGATGGCCGACACGGCACTCGAGGACCCTAGGTGCGCGCCCTTCGGGTTGGCCCACGACACAGGCAAAAAGGCTGGGTGGCGGGGCCAGCCGATGTGGCGCATCGTCCGCTCTCCACCGTCTGTTGTGAGAGGTTTGTGTGTGAGCGTGCCCCGTCGGGACACGGAGGATGGTGACTTGTGCCGGGGCGCAGAGAGGCTAAGCAGCCCGGGGCGTTGTGGAGAGGCCGTAGCGGTACGGTGATGGGCTGCGGATTATGGGGAAACCCCGTTGCAGCCACACCCGTGCTCAAGCCTCCGATGAGGGAACATGCAGGAGCCCACCGGCAGGTGCGATACCTGCAGCAGCAGATGGGCGATACCAGCTAGGGGTCAGCCGGTGGCATCAGAATCGAGCTTCTTTGAGGGGCCAGCCACTGTTCCTCCCCTCTGGTCCCCTCGCCCTATGAGCATCAGCAGTATCTGCTCAGTACCGCTCGGGGGGGGGGACGAACGGCCCACCTCTAGGCAGCGGACGGAGGCAACGGGGTTAGCAAGGGGCATTGTAGGCGTGCGGCCAGCCACCCGCCATTGTCACAGGAGGATCCGTGGCCGCTCGTCCTGATGTCTGTGTGAATGGGGCATCCCTTTTAGCGCACAGGCCGGTACCCGCGGTGAAACCGGTCGGGCGGAGGCAACGGGGGCAGGGCGAACCTAGGCATGAAGTGGTGCTGGATACCTACAGGCGGAGTCGGAGATGGCGGAGGCGATAGGAAGGGACACGACGAAGGGGAGAGAGCTTCAAAGTGCTTGCGCGCCCGTTTCTCGACGGAAACGGGCGAATGAACTATCGTTGCCAACGTTTTTGGGGTGGGCGAGCTCGATGGCGAAGTTAGTTTAGGTGATAGATTAGTTAGATAGACGAAAAGGGGAGAAGGAACTGCGTGGAGACATGGTTTTGGCCCCGGGCGAATCAGATGGTAGTGTTAGTTTTAGTGATGAGTTAGTAGAATAGGAGATTAGTGAAAAAAGGGCCGCGCGGAGCTGTAGAAGAAGAGAAAACGAAAGGGGGGGAAGAGCTTTTCTCACTCGTTTCTAGACGGAATCAAGTGAGGGAGGAGTCGAAATCGGGGTTTTTAGTGGCTGCGAATCAGGTGGTCGTGCCGGATTGTCCATTTGGGAAGTGGGTTGGCCGGTACGAGCAGAAGGGGCTGCGCGAGTAAGCAAGTAGGAGCGAGCATGTATCAAGCCATGTTCCAGCGGAAGATTCATTTAGTTTTGCTCATCCTATCCTTGGCAGCAGTGTGAGGCCGGCTGCACCACGCACAGAGAGAGAGAGAGAGAGAGAGAGAGAGAGGGGGGGGGGGGGGGGGAGAGAGAGAGAGAGAGAGAGGAGAGAGAGGAAGTAGAAGAAGTGATGGGGAAGAAGCATGGAGCATGCAATCGACGGGAGTAATAACGGCGTCGACTCTGACAGTGATCGGCCCCGTTTTGTTGACAGTAAATGAATCTTTCCGCATTCTAGCGGAAGATTCATCCCTTTTCCTTTTTGTTTATCTTACCAAGGGAAAGGCGGCCGCCTCTGATCCTCTGTACGCATGGCTTGAAAGGCAACGTATACCCGCGTTCTTGCGGAAAACTCCTTCCCACTTTGCGCATTGGTCGCTTACTCTGTTAAAGCCAGCACTCGCTCTCGCCTGTCTGTCTTGGTCCACGCCCGCTCTTGTCTACTGGCAGCTCGTGGATTCTTCCTTGCGGGCCTGGTTTGCTTTGGACTGCTGGCACCCAGCCATGTTGGATGCTAGATACAGCTGGTAGGGGCTGCGGAAGGGGGTGACTCCAAACCGGCATGACACTCTCCCCACCAGCCATCGTAGCAACAGGCCAACAGCAGGGGTACAGGCCTAGCTATGGGCCGATGTGACGTAAGGAGTAAAGTTGTAGAGGTGGCAAGCTAGCTGCTAGCCGGTGTGCTGTTGGTCACACCACACGAAGTGACTGAAAGTGGACTTGCGACGAGTTGCAATGCACGAAGAAAGCCAAAAGTGAGGTGCAGTGTTTTCTATGAACGCAAGTGAATGAACGGGCACAGTAGTGGTCACAGGGTGCCGTGATGAGCTTAGTTCAAATCGAAGGGTCTGAGTGTGCTTGGGGCCTGATAATTGATCATGCATGTAGTAGAGATGGACATGAGCATGAGAACGACAACGGGGAGTTGAGGAGGTAAGGGAGAGATTCGAAGGAAGGAAGGATGGTGTTTACTCAGTCAAGGCAGTCCTATAACTAACAATTGCCACAACGAATAACTTTGGCGAAGTCTACTTCTGCTTCCTGAAGTGTGTACGAAGCATTTGGCTAGAAGCTGCAGTATACAGTTGCTACATTTATTGGATCACAGTGTGTGATCATTAGCTTCGCAAGGTTGTAGTGCGGTGTGGTGACTCACTGCAGTTGGCACTCGACCGGTGTAGTATTTCTTGCTGCCCCGTTGTTGTGCGCTCCGCTAGTTGCTTCAGTCGCGTTCCTGCTACAGCAGTTGTTGTGCTTACGACGGAATGCTATGCTGCTGCTGTTACAGTTGTGCAAACTGCCGTATGATCTAGGTGTTGCCTTATGCGACGTTGTAGAGTCTGTTGCTACACACACACATTGAGAGTGCCTCGCCCTTGTTAAACTTGTTGACTCACTACATTTCGTTTACGGCTTGGATAGAGCATAGGGACGGCGCACTATTTGAACGCATTTGTACTAAGTTGCGGGGAAGTAGTTTAGGCTGAGTAGTGACAACTGGGTCGGGGAAACAATGCGTGATCCGGAAGAGTGGTCAAGCTGCGAAAGGGGGTTACCGCTGCGGCTTGGAAGACCGCCTGGAGGGACCTATTCTGCTTGTTGATTATATTTTTCAGTCATCTTTGTGGCGTTTGACTGCGGCTCAACTGTTCTTGTTGCGGTTTGGCCGCGAATTTCTGGTCTAGGGCTAAGCATTGTTTCTAAGATGAATGGTTTAGCCTCAAAACCACGCACATAAATATAAACTAAGTATAAAAGAAAACATCCTACTTATATTTGCATGTGAACTCGCAGTTGGGCATTGTTTCCAAGCCGAATGGTCCAACGCTAAGCCATATCATTAAGAAGAAAAAGGAAAATACAGAGTATAATTGGAAGCAATCTGGACAAAGCTGAACATTGTTTCCAAGCCGAATGGTTGAGTCCCCTGCCCATATTTTCATTTCTTTTGAGAACAAAGTTAGAAAGTTAGTAAATTTTGGACATTAAACAGTCCAGGGCGACTAGGGTGGCCTAGTCACATGCCCAAAGAAGAGAAAAGTAGTTGTGCAACCTGTTCTTGTATACTCTAAGGCATGCTAGACATTATTTCTAATCCGAATAGTCTAGCATCGTGCCATATGTAAGTTGGGTGTAAGGGCTAAATCATCTGAGGGTTTCATGAACTATCTTATATAAAGTGACTTGGGGCTGGTGAGAGTACTTACGTTTGTGGTTTGGCCTACATGTGGCTGAGTGAGATTACTACTTGGTCTGAGTTTCAGTTTGACAGGTAGTTGCTTTAGATGCTCGCCACGTGCTAGAGTCATAGGAGTTAGTTTCAATTCCTGCATTTTCTGAGCTAAGTTTTTTTACTTAGGTCAATTTTTGCATTTTCTGGGATCATTTATTATACTTGGTCTTGTATAAATCTTGGTAAGTCACTTTCTCTACGGGAAGTGCTGCCGGAAATTTCTACAAAACCAATGAGTTAGTCAAAACTTGACTTTTCAAAGTTCAACTTGTCTAATCTTTATATATGGCTTAGTGAAAATCTGGAAAGTCTCCGTTTTTAAAGGGAGTGCTGCCCAAATTTTTGCTAATTCAGGGTGTTAGACAAAATTTGATTTTGGAAAGTTGAAGATCATTTTTGTTTTTATATTCGGGCTGATATAAATTCTGGAAAGACACTTTTCCTACGGGAAGCGTTGCCGAAATTTTCTTAGTTTAGAGGAAATAGATTATATTTTGATAGGTGGCGGCTCTGGCGATCCACCCTGTATGGGGAAGATTCTGCCATAGGTCTACCTTTCTTTGGGCACTGGCTTAGAGACAGACCTAGGCTTGACTATCAGGAGAGTCTTGAGTAAGAATGTGTCATGGGGATTTGATCTCCATACATTGACGATTAGTTTGGACGTTGACATGTCGTATGATACATATCTTCTTTGGACATTCGATCCAGGGTTTCGACTAACTTTAGTTTGATCTTACGAGGATCACCCTCTGTTATCACTGATAACAAGTCGGTTGGTTGATCGCCGACTTGTCGGCTCACGACACAACTTTGCTAATACCTGTACCTCAACTTGATTGCCTTAGCCCTGAGATTTGATATGTTTCTTTGAGGGTTTTAACCGGATTTCTTTTAATGACCATTATAAAGAATTTATGAAAATTATGAAAAGTTGAACTATGACTGAGGCTTGAGTGTGTGAGGCAAGCTGTGAGTTACAGGGAACAGTAAAGTTGACCACATTGGTGTATGCCAATGTGGCTATTGTGTGTGCCTGTGTTTTATGTAGGTTAGTATTTTGGAGCTTGGTATATGGGCCATACTTTGGAGACAGTGAGAATGACAACCATGTGCCGCACGATCTGCATACCTGATGGGTTTATGTTTTCCCCTTCTTTTGTTGTTATCTCGAGTCCTGATTTGATATACGAGTGTTGGGATATTTATTTATTTATTGGGTGATTTTGCTTGTTAATTTTTATAGTTGGACTTTGTAGTCTGTGGCAGCCGTCAAAGTCAAACCCCTTGACTTCTTTCCAGACCCTGGATGATGGAGCTGGTCTCCAGGGCAATAAGAGACGATTGCCACCACAGGTATGAACCTGTGTACCACCCACTCTCCGCAGAGTGCAGAACAGGGTGTGGCTTTCAACCGCACTTGGCGGTTGTCCAGCATTGAGAGATCAATCCCTCAAGGCGCGTGTCAGACGACACTTGAGTGTCGAATGCGACCCTCAAATTAACGAGGACCGCATGAGTATGGGTACTACATAGTACGCCATCATTTCGACTGCTTGCATATGCTTGCATTGCTAGTCGATATGAGAAGACCCTGCGTCCGCGCGGTTTTATACAAAGTCTCGCGCAACGCCTATCAGATTTCCACATCAGAAAGTTATGGGATGGCTACTAAGGGACTAGGAGTGTTGTCGCGTTGTTTGTCCAGTGTCGCTCAGTATATGTATATGTGCGTGTGCGTGCGTTTTATTTTTATGTTCTTTAGAGCGGTGTTTGTGTGATGTGTGGGATGCATCCTAGTCGATCGACGACGGGTCGCGCTTGGGACCTCATCCCCCCAAGATGTCGGTTCGTGTGCAGGTCCGATAGAGGCGTATTACCGCACGTACCCCCTATGCTACAGTGAACGAGAAACGCCCTCGGCTGGTCCACCTCTGCGATTGCAACTGATCAACTTTCGTACTGTGGACTGGTAGCTCGGCGGGGATACGNGTACTGTGGACTGGTAGCTCGGCGGGGATACGCCCACCGAAGGGAGGTGACAGCTCCCGTAAGGTGGAGGTAAGTCGTGCCTCGCGTAGGCCCTATCCTGTCGTAGGGGCTCGCGAGAGGTATTGTTGGCGCACTCGGCCGGAGCGGCTTGCGGAAGCTCCATATGTATTCGCGACAAGGAAGTAGACCAACTCCTGCGTGACGCAGCCGGGAGGGTCCCGCGCTGCCTTGTGCGGTGTCGGACCGATGCGCTCGACAGGTGGTGTCGTTGTCGGGGATAACGGTTGTCTGTCGTTGTCCCTGGTGGAACGACATCCGGGTATAAGAAAGTGAGAACTAGGCAAAGGGAGAAACTTTCTTTGGACATATATGGTCGATTGCTTGATACCTTGACTATCGTTGAAGATGTCTTAAGACTGTGGCCTAAGTGTGAAGTGTTTATTATAAGCGGCCAAGCTGAGTCGCCCTCCCCTGGCGATAGAGCCTTGCTTTTGAGGAGCTTTCTGGTACATGAGCGACATAGGTGAGGGGATTGACTGATGAGTGCGAAGTGAGGGGTTTGATTGCAAAGATCTTTCCTTGAGCTCAGACTGAATTATGGTGTAATAGGTATTGTGATGAATATTGTACCTAAACCCATTGATGGTATCTGTTGGCGGTGAGTTGAGTTACCTAGCAGGTTGTCTAGATGTAACTGTCAAAAGTTTTGAGAAGTAGTGGTTGCTTAGCTAACCGTCTGGTTAACCCGAAGCGAGGCTTATGTTTTAAGTATAAGTAATATATAAATATATATTTGTTTTTATGGTAGTTTATATCTGGTTATTGCCATTTAAGTTTTTTTTCTGTATTTTGTTTGATGTATGATTGACGACGTATGTATGGATTGCCTTTCAAAGAGGACATAGACTTTGCATGAAACCCACATCTGGCATGGGACCAGAGGTGAATGGGGTGATCCACTCCTAGAAAAGGTGGTTCTTCCTCAAGGGAGTAAGTCAGCGTGTATAGTTGTCCTTAGTGGAAGTGCATTCTCAAATTGTTACTCCCTTGCTAAGACTTAAGGAAGCAGTTATCAGTCTTGAGAATGATAGTGAGACCCACGCCGGAACTATATTCCTGGTCCATTGTGGGATGTTGTTATCTTTCCTTTGAATAGAAAAGTAACTACATTATCAGGTAAAAGAGGAGGAAAGAGTTTATTCCCTGAGATTGACTTCTTCAAAGGCTATCATGTTTCTGACTTCCGTGACAAGTTTGGGCAGATAGCGTCTCACTGCGAATGGAGTGAAGAGCAAATGCTAAAGGAGGTCATAAAGTATATCCATATAAGCTTGAAGGAGGAAGTCGGTGGGTTGGTTAGAAGAGCGGGGTCATCATGGAGGAAGTTCTATGATGACATGTGGAATAAATACTGGCTAGGTGAGGAACAACTAACCAAGGACGATCTGGAGAAGATAGATCGGTGCAATTATGTGTCAGTAGGGCACTTCCGGATCGAGTATGAACGCGCATCCCCCAAGGTCTGGGCGTTGTTTGAATATGACAAGTGTTTTATCTTTCTTATGAACTTTATGGATGCAGAGCAGCGAGATTTTGATTCATGGGACATAAATAAGGCTTATATGGGACAAAATACGAGAAAAATTTGTAGAAGGCGATTTCGATCAACACCTCTGTCATACTCTGCGGGAAGCGAGGAAAAGAAAGGAGGCGTTGGATTATGAGAAGAATGGGCATGGCAAAAGGGCAAATGACCTTGCAGCAGGCACCTCTGACGGCCTGAGAGGTGGATTTCAAAAGGACGCTAAGGTCATCAAACAAAATCATAGATGGAGCAAAGAGAAGAAAAAAGAGTCTTGTGTTGAGAGAAAAAAGGTGCAGGCTATAGTGAGGAATGTTGCAGCTCATACCTGTGAGAGGACGTTTGACGCTCCAAATAAGAAGGGGACAAAGGAGCGAAGGGCTCAGGAAGAAGTTGGTATAGCCCTACCACCCACTGCGTCCGATCCAAAAAGGGGGTGTGAAGATAAGGATGCATCGTCAACTGCAAGTTGGAAAGGGCAAAAAAATAACAGGCGGCGAGAGCAGTGGTCAAAGATAGTATGTGCTTGTTGCGGAAAGATTGGTCATACCCCTCGTAGATGTAAGATGATAAGGGAAGGAGGGGTGAGAACGTTGTGCTTTAGGTAAGGGTTTGGTTCCTCCCAATAACTATCGCCATTTTATTTGTCTCGTAGCAAGAAAGCGATAGAATGGTGTCAGCAGTCTTAAACGATTTATAAATAAACACTCAAAGGGCTATGACGGTGTGGAAGACTCCATTGTTAGATTAATAGGCAATTATCGGCTTATGTTGCGTTTAAGTTGTCTCCAAATTGTTTTTGAAACATATTTATAAATAAACACTAGGGCTATGACGGTGTGGAAGACTCCATTGTTAGATTAATAGGCAATTATCGGCCTATGTTGCGTTTAAGTTGAGTCTCCAAATTGTTTTTGAAACATACTTTCCGTCTTGTATATATTCTAGATTTTGGATAAGACTCCTTACTGTTTGGATTTGTGCGTACGTTCTGGGTTTGACTATCCACTCTCTAAGCTGATTTTTAGGTTTGGTTGAATGCAAGTGGAGGTCTTGTAGGATTCGATTGTCCGTACGCCGACGTCCTTTCATCTTTGCGAGAACGGTTGGGATCATTTTGTGTATATCAGTCTTTTATGAACTATAGATTATATTATACAAGGTCTTTTATCTCTGATTGGGACCTGGAATTGTGATGATTTGAGGCTTGTCAGGATTTGAGACTCGAGATAATTTGATTTTCTCCCGAGAACCATCTTGGTATGGGGTTTTGATTTCCCTGGGTTGCAGAAGAGTGCACGTTCTGGTTGCCATTGGCATTCTCACCATTGTGGCTTTGTGAGTGGAAATAAAAAAATGACAAAAAGGCAATAAAGAAGTGTGCGAACCAAAGAGGGTTCAATGAAGTGAAGAAAGTGTGATTTTGAGTGAAAGATTTATGGGAGACTTGAAGAGTCCAGAAATTTATATGAAGAGACAGGTTATGGCCCTCGCTGAACTACTCTTGAAAGGTGCAAAACGAGAGTGAATCTTCCGCTAGAACATGGAAAGATACAGCGACATGATTTTTGTCTTTTGTGCATTTCAAGAGTAGTGCAGCGAGGCCCTATGCCTGAAGGCGGCCTAAGTGGTTATTGGTTTCATCTGGACTCATCCTCAAGTGAAAGATATGTTAAAAGGATATATGGATAGTCCATCCGTGAGTAAGGAGATCTGTTGTGGAAAAAAAAGAAAAAATTTGCAGAGATTTGACGAAGCCCTACTTGATTAACTAATAAACAATCAGTCAATCAAGCAAGCTGGCTCTTTGATTGGGCGAATCCTCTGATTGAGAGGTCCGCTCCGATACCAAACTGTCGCATACCGTAATGGTGCAGACCAGAACAAGAACTGACCTCTCTCACATAGTACATGATAGCGCAGCAGAAGGCTAAAATACCAGTGATCGGACCAATCAATGTGGCAATGCAGACCAAACATACATCATCATCATCATCGCAAGGTGTGAAGGGGCCTGGCGCTGAACACAGGAAGAATGCACCAGGCCTAGATCATACACAGACGAAGAGGAGGGGATCAGACGAAAGGAGGGATAGAAGATGAGAATGTCGTCAACACCAATGCCGTTGATATCGATCCCAAATAGTCTTTCATCAATGTCTCAGTCCCCAAGTCGAGTCTGTATCCAAATGTCGTCAACATCCCAAAGTGCATGAGTCCTGGAGACCATCTCACACAAGTGTGTACATGCCATGCATTTTTCTCCCACACACAACGAACAGTAGTCTGATAATAGACAAAGGT